CTGTCTAGCTCTCACTAGCTGGCTGGCTGGTTAGCTGGCTGCTGCTGGGTTGCCGGCTGTTCACATGCCCCGTGTTCTTGGCTTCCCCCTCGGCCCCCTTCCCCTTGTTGGCCCTCGGTCTTGTGCCCCCTCCCTCCTCTCCCCTTTTCCGCCATAGAGGTGTGTGGGGAAGGTACACGCGCACTTACTCCAAAGGTTCACGCACTTGCACTCTTTATTATGCCGTTACTGCAGATGCAACAGAAACGAGCAAGGACTGAATGAGCTCGGGCTTGTAGCTTGGCGGGGGACGCTCTTCGTGACTCATGAGCACGAGAGGAGCTGTAACATGTGAAGAGAAGGTGAAATTTTGCGTCGTTTATATCGTCGCCTTCTCAGAAGCTCGTCGCCGGTAGGAGGTCGCACCAGCGCGGGGAACGCTTCGGAGAGAATTTCTATCGGCACCACATTCAAGAATGAATCGCCTTCATTACTTGCAAACGTTCAGCTCAAAGTATTGGGCGAACATGAATAACCTGACTTGCACTTCGGATATTTTCTTAATAGAAAACCAATAATGCTATACTAAAACAAAAAGGCGTGTGACGGTAGTTCATTACCTTGAAATAAAGAAAAATCTCATAAGTCAACTGACAACTCGAGGGTTTGGGCACATGTTAAGATCCCCAACGCGGCTGCCAAATGTCGCCACCTCCATTGCTCAACAAATATCCCCATAATAATACCGCTTTCGCAGGTCAGGCCCTTCCATGGTCGGCCTTTATCCCTGTCACAGCTCACACGGCAGATGAATTATTAAAAGACCTCCAGAAGCACAAACTCGTTTCCTTAATAGCAACAGAAAAAAGAAACGAAACAACAACAACTAAACGGCCGAAGGAGGAACGGTAGTTCCGTTAAACCGAAAATTACCTTCGGCGGCGAGACGGCGTTGGTGCCGCAGCGCCTGCTATTCTTACTCTCGTGGCTCGGTAGGCGGCTGCCGAGGCAGGGGGGGGGGTACGGGAGAGGGGAGAGAGAGAGAGAGACAGAGACGGAGAGGGAGAGACAGACAGAGAAGGAGCGAGAGAGACAGACAGAGAGGGAGAGAGAGACAGACAGATGAGAGAGAGAGAGGCAGAGTGGGAGAGAGAGAGAGAGAGAGAGAGAGAGAGAGAGAGAGAGAGAGAGAGAGAGAGAGAGAGAGAGAGAGAGAGAGAGAGAGAGAGAGGGGGAGAGAGGAAGGGAGGGAGGGAGAGAGGGAGAGAGAGGTTAAGGTTAAAGGTTTAGTTTGATTCCATTTGTGACAATGGATATTCTTGGTTGACATACTGTCTGTCTTATTTTGCTTCTGAGTTATCCCCTGTGTGCAAGGGATAGCCGGGGTTATCATCCACTGGCGGCGAGGGATTCGAACGCAGGTCAGCAAGATTGCTAGACGAGATCGCTACCGCTGTACCACACAGCACACAGAGTGAGAGAGAGAGTGTGTGTGTGTGTGTGGGGGGGGGTAAATAGAGAGAGGGGGGGAAGAGGGAGAGGGAAAGAAAAAGATAGAGATAGGAAGGGAGGAAGAGAGTGAGAGAGGAGAAAGGGAGGGAGGGAAGGAGAGAGAGAGAGAGAGGGGGTGGGGAGATAGAGATAGAGGGGGGGAGAGGGAAAGAGAGAGATAGAGAGGGGGGGTTGAGAGGGAGAGATAGAGATAGAAATAGAGAGAGGGAGGGAGGGAGAGAGAAAGAGAGAGAGAGAGAGAGAGAAAGTGAAAGAGAGAGGGGGATAGACAAAGAGAGAGAGATAGATATATAGAGAGGGGGGATAGACAAAGAGAGAGAGAGAGAGAGAGAGAGAGAGAGAGAGAGAGAGAGAGAGAGAGAGAGAGAGAGAGAGAGAGAGAGAGAGAGAGAGAGAGAGAGAGCACACGCACACACGGCACTGGAGCTCCTGCACAATACGATTTTATGATCTCCCTAGCCCTTGCCGGAGTGTGCCACTTGACATACATTAATATGAATACCTATGGAAGGTATTCTGAATACTTAAAACACGGAACAGGAAAGATATAAAAAGATTTATATAATTTACTATCGTTGATAACTGTTATTTCGATATTTCAACATTCCTGGCCGTGTTTATATCCAACCATGGCAAACGACCAGGCGAATTACCTGTCAAGTGCTAGTTTGATGAGCAAATTGTCAGTTTGGACCTTCACCACTACCACCCTCCTCTACCCAAGGGACCCCACCATCTCTGTGCTACACCTTTTCTCTTCACATTTTCTTTTGTCTTTTTCTTAAGTTTTTCTCCCCCACCCCCTCTCTCATTGGTGTGTGATACAGCTCTAGGGGAATCCGCAGGAACAGTACCCTGGGGAAACTAACACCGCCTGGCCTCCCGTAGCATGCTATACGCCCCCGCTCCCAACGGCCCATAATAACTCTCCGCCACGATCACTATGGCATCCGGCGCCTACAAGAAAAATAAGCGGATCGAAGGCATCGGAGGATACACACTGCTGCTGCGTGTGTGGAAAATCCACCAAAAAGAGCGAAATCGTATCCTGCTCTCCCGACTGTCCCAGCATCTGCCAACCGAGTTACGTGGATCCCTCGCAGCCTTTCCACTGCTCGCAGACGCAGCATCTAAGGGAGCTGCAAGGGAGCACTAAGAGTGTGATAGTCATCGATGAGGAGGACTTTCACACAGATCAAGCCTCACTCTCTCTTGGAAAATAATTAACAAGAGGATCTTATTAAAGACTGCTCTGCTCCAGTAAAATCGAAGGCTGTAACTGCAAAGCCTGCCGATATCTGCTGAGTTTTCTACACAAACTCAGCAAGATCCAGCACTTCAGCATTGGTGGGATCCATCCATCGGTAAAAAGAATCCTGATCAAAGAGCTCAGTTGCCTCCGCCTCCCTGGAAATCAGAGATTCAGGGAGGAAAGAGAGCGCAGCAGAAGAGACCAGAGCCTCCCATGTGCTCACATTACAGATGGTGAGGACACAACGAGCGGGACTGCCGTAGTAAGGGCAATTGCGACTTTTTCAAGGCAAGAGGCCACACCCTGAACAGGTGCAGGTGGAAGGCTTCGGCAGATAAGGCCGAACTGCTCGAAAGAGATCTAAAAAAAAATCATGTCAGAATATCGAAGCTGTCAAACGCAGAAAACAGAAGCTCACCCTCAACCTCTACTTCCATCTCTGCCCCTTCAGCAGCGTTACTTCTCTCCACCTCCACATTGGGTCGCTCATCAACTCGCTGTTCCTTCTTGATCACATCCCAATTTCAACAACCACCAAGGTTCAGAGTACTAAATGGCTTCACTGATTCCTACCCCTCAAAATAAGCAGACACCTTTCAGTTCTGTCTGTTAATGTCAGAGGCCTCCAGACCAATATTGGTCAGTTGACTCACATGGCCCTCAACATCAGTGCTGATATAATAGTAGCTACTGAAACTTTCCTTAATGCAGAGGTAGAACCTGCTTTTGGTAAGATACAAAACTACTCACAGTGGCAAAGTTAGAGACAGAATAGGCAAGGCAGTACACCAATGGACTTCCTAACGGGATATTTGGACATACGTCAGACTCGCAACAACTGTCAGCATATCTTAATAGCTGGGGACCTTATTCACCATCTCATTCAGCCAGCATATGAGGACCTTACCGCAGTTCACGGGGTGAGAGATTACGAAGATTTCCCGAAGCACATCCTCGGTAGATCTCTTGACCCTGTTATATCAGATCTAACTGAGGACTTTATCTCCAGCTCATCGCTCAGGAAAATCAGATCACCATGCAGTTATATCACACCATTGTCTTGCCTCTGTATCTGACGAAAGGAGACAAAGAAAAATATACTGGCCAAGTATGAAGGCAGAACTTCAGTCACAAGACTGGGATGTTCTCCTGGTGGGGAATGCAAACGACAAAGCATTCTCCATCACCAACCTCCTCGCTGAAATGCAGGAGAAATACGTCCCTTCACGGGCATACATCACAAAACCAGGAGATCAAGCCTGGTTTGGCTACAGATGTCATCAAGCATCAGAAAAGAAATACAGATTGTGGCAAAGGTACAAAATCAATTCTACAAGACAAAATAAAATTCTGTACAAAAATGCTTGCAAAGAAATGACAGCCACGTGCAAATGGGCCCGCTACAGATGGCAAGAGTACATGATGGCAAGAGTACAGTCAATTTTGGGAGCAGGCAGCAAGGAGTGGTGGTCGCTCGTCAAGGAGCACCAAGGGAAAACCCGGGAATCCACAATAACTCCACTAAGCCCAATGGAAAAACTGCTTCAAGTAATCGGGAAAAAGCTAACCTTCTGGGAGCTTATTCAGTCGTAAAATGACAGCGCCAGATGCTAAAAGGACACTTCCAGAGATACCCTCAATATGCCATGAACAACTCCCTGGTCTTTCAGTCTGTTGCACCAGACCAAAGGAGATCCTTAAGAAATTAAATACAAAGAAAGCACCAGGTTCAGTTGATATCAGCCCACAAAGTCTCTGTAAGTGTGCAGCTGAGTTATCCCAGTCTTTATCATCTATCTTCCAGGCATGTATCGAAGAAAGCTGCTGGCCCACTATTTGAAAGGAAGCAAAAGTGATTCCTCTTCATTAAAAAAAAACAAAAACAAATCCAGACAACTACCGGGCCAAATCGCTTCTGCCATGCATCAGCAAGGTATTTGAAAAGATCATTGCTGAGCAGCTAACCTAACCTAACCTAACCTAACTTGGAAAACCACAGTCTCATTTCCATCAGACTGTTTGGCTTTCGATCGACTGCTGACCTACTGCTGAGTAAAAACTGACAGGATGCTTTGGATGTCAGTCAAGATACTCTGGTGATCGCCCTCGACATCACCGGCGCCTTCGACCGAATATGGCACCGAGGGCTCCTCGCTAAACTACAAGCAAACTATAATCAGTAACTTTTTTGCGGCTAATTGATAACTTAAAATAGTTATCGGTGGCTAGTCATCCCAGAAGTATCCGGAGGAGGCAT